CCTGGAAAATGCTTTGCTATTTTCTCAGTGGTTGCAAATGGGCAGTGATTGATGTAAAATAAAGCTGATGGTATGGAGAATAAGGTGACTCCCTCACAAATGTCTTTTACAACCTGATTGTCAAAGTTGGACTTTGCTGCTCTGTCGAAGATGATTGTCGTGTCTCGAGTGCATCAAGAACAGAGGTGCTCTGAGAATTGCTTCCAAACTGTGTGTAGGAATTCTCATACTAAGAAGCAAACCCATATATGATGGGAATGAATGCAAAGAAAAATGTGCGTGGAACAGGACTGCTTTTCAGGAGTGTTACTTATCCCTGTGGTTTTTATTTGCTTTTCAGTATGTCAGTGACACAGGCCATGGAGTGGTTGATAGAACATGCAGATGACCCTGCTGTGGATGCTCCCCTTCCTGGTCAGACTCCGTCAGAAGCTGCAGCTGAAGCTGGTGCATCCTCTGCTGAAGCAGCTGCAGGTCCTAGTTCAGAAGTTGGTGGGGAAGAGGCCAAGGATGAGCTGACAGAAATATTCAAGAAGATCCGGCGGAAAAGAGAGTTTCGCCCAGACCCACGAGTATGTGTGGTGTATCTCACTATTTATGTAACTATTAAAACCAAAAGGGACTGTGTGGGCACCATGGCACTCCAATAAATACTTAGTTAAGGAACATCTGTGTGCCTGTAAGTTGTACTGGCCAGACAGTATTTTAGTGGGAATCTTGAGGAGCTGCTTAAATTCAGATGTCTGAAAGGAATATTACCTGATGTATTGCTGTCTCGGGTACCAATGTCTAAATTACTGGTGCTATTACTTTTATACCTGAAAATCAGCTGTTGTAACCTGAAATCAAGAGCTGCTAGACTCTAGCGTTGCCTTTTGGTTGCCTTCAGAGAAGAAGGATGAAGGGCAAGAGTGGGTCCTTTGCTACAGAAAAGGACAGAATAGTATAATTCTATTTAGAGGGCATGGGAGAGTATCATCAGTAGATCAGAAGCTTCACAGCAAATCTAAGTTAGCCTTTCTTCAGAAAGATTCAAAGATATGAAGTAAAAATGCATGGTGTCATCACACTGTGGACTCACCAGGAGGTGCTCTTTAGAATCCAGCACTTTAACAGCTAGAGGTTTCTTGTTTACAGGTTCCAGCTGAAATCACAATGTAGTGATTGACCTAAATACAATTTCCAATAATTGAACATTCCCATAATGATATCAGGTACAAATACCTAAATACATAATGCTCACTAGCAATATATAGTAAACCCAGGAAGTAAAATGAAATCCAGTGACTAGAACTGCAGTGGATTGTATGGACATGGTACGTGTATCTCGGTGAGACATGAGCAGAGCTTTGAGGTGAGAGAGGTTCTAAATTAATGGGCTTCTGTCCTGCTTCCATAAGACTTAGTCCATGTATGCAGCAGACATTTCTGATACCCACAAACTTCTCATCTGCTGTGTAAATCTACAAATGGAGACAGTTGTGCCTAGCTCTGCAAAAAGCTCCTGCCCAGAAGGTGAAAGGCTGTGATTGTTGTTGTTTTTGTGTTAAATGTTGTATTAATTAAATGGTGCAAATCTGATGTAGGCTGTTATTGCCCTGATGGAGATGGGATTTGATGAAAAAGAAGTGGTAGATGCACTGAGAGTAAACAACAACCAGCAAAATGCAGCTGTGAGTACACTGTTATTTCTGTTTCTTACTCCTATAGTTGTCTGCTCAGCCAGTTTGTTTATTATTAATTGATTCTGATTGTACTGTAAAGCTGAAACATTGCTGAAATAGAAATAAATGCTTTCTGTGTCCCTTGCAGAATAGTTGCACAACTGGAATGCAATAAGTTTTAAATATCTTAAAAGAACTCAGCCTGCACAGGGTTAATGCTGATCTAGTGATATAGTGATATAGTGTATGGGGATTTTCAGAAGGCTTTTAAGAAGCTCCTTCACTGGGGATTGCAACTAAAGAAATTATACTGTCATAGGGATAGATACTTCCCATAATTAATAACTGATGAAAGGTTAGGAATAAATGATGAGGCAGGAGATTCAAGCCATGCAGTGTATGAATTAACGTTCTGTATCAATGTATTCCACAACCTGGGGAGACCAAGATGTGAAGGCTTTCAAAGACTGACTAGTCCCCTGTCAGTGACTATATTAAGCAGAATGAGGTAGAAGCAGCTGATGGTGACGGAAGCTTCTTTTCTTAAGCATCTGGTGCTGGCTGCTGTCAGAGAAGGGATATTGGGCTGGGTAATTCTTCACTGACCTACTGTAGCCGTGCTGATGCAGTGCCTGCTCTGGGATAACTCTGTGGGATGACACGTCTTCCCTCAGCTTTGAAATGTCCAAAGCTACTGCCCTTTTATTGCCATATGAGGCAATGCTGCTGTTTCTGTCGAAGCAAAGGTTGGGAACAAAACCCAAATGAATAGTAATTTACTGTGAAAATAAATACATCTTTAACTGCACATGAGAGGGAGAAAATCATCTTTAACATGCCACTTCATCACAGGTTTTGACAGACTTTCATTGCAACAGAACCAGCTGTGAATTTGTTGTACCTGGTGGTTTCTTTCAGTGTGAATGGCTGCTGGGAGACAGAAAACCTTCTCCAGAGGACTTAGATAAGGGAATTGACACCAATAGCCCTCTCTTCCAAGCCATCTTAGAAAACCCTGTGGTACAGTTAGGGCTAACAAACCCTAAAACTCTACTAGGTAAGTACTGTTTGGAACTGTATGGCAACATACAACTTGCTGTATGTTGGGGCCAGGTCACTGAAATGGAAAATAACACGTGTGAGTTACCAAACCAAGGCTTTGCCTTGCCAAAGTTGAGATAACGTAGGTGAAGGCATTTTCCCCAGCTTGAAGTTGAGCTCCATAGCAAAATTTGTGCCTTCTTGGTCAGAAGAGCTGTGGCTTTGGCAAGCACTGATTTTATAAGCCTCAAAGTGAAATGTAAATCTCTATTTTGATGGCCTTTACAGGGGAGGATGATGCAGAATGACCTTGTACCTGTGTTGTACACAAACTTTCCGTTTAGTCATTGTCCTCAAACTTTGAGGACTTGCTTTTAAAGGGTATATGCACAGCTCTTTGGAGAGTGTCTTTTAAAATACCTGCTTTAAATGTAATTAGCAGAGTTTGCAAGGCTTTAAATAATTCAAGAGCAGAATATTCTCACCTTGTTTTCTGAACAAATGTTCTCTTTGTTTCCAAGAGGGTTCCACACTGCAGCTCAGAATATAAATAGAAAATGAAATGCTATTATATGCACTTGTAAAGCTTGGATGAGCATGAGAATATATTCCTAAATGATGCATCTGCAAATAGCTGATGTCACAGACTTTAATGAATGTTTGCATTTAATTAGATGCTTAAAGTTGATAAATCTTTGGTTTCAAACTCTTGAGTCTGTAAAGAAGTAATGGGAAAGTGGGGAAAGCTGAGATCTGTACTTTTATTTTGGGCTTTGCCAGAGGCATGCTGCATGGCCTTGAGCGAGGTATTTGTGGTAAGCCCTTCGGAGGTGCTGGGCGCTTCCAGCTCCCACTAATGTCACTTAGAGCTGTGCATGCTCCAAAATGCTGACTTTGGTGCCAGGCTGCCAGGTTCTTACAAGACTGCCCTTTTGGTGACTTCTCAATAGGTCACGTCTTTTTGTCCCGTTCCATAATGATCCGAGGCTCTTAGTTTTTGGTTGTCCAGCTGAGTTTGGACATAAAGTTTAGATTATTGGCTGTCTTGTTCTTCTGCCATACTTGCAACATGATTTTTGCAGTAAATCTCCCCAATTCTGATGAATTTCTTCATCCTTCAAAATAAGTAACAGAATTAAAAATTTACTGGTCCCAAAGCAAAGAATAGCTCTGCAGCAATGTCTTACTTTCCTGTTTAAGCATTTCAGCCCTTGAAGCCTTTGCTAAATGAAGGACTAAGTGTGTAACAACTTCCATCTCTTGGCAGCCTTCGAGGATATGCTTGAAAATCCCTTGAACAGCACTCAGTGGATGAACGATCCGGAAACGGGGCCCGTCATGCTGCAGATCTCCCGAATCTTCCAGACACTGAACCGCACGTAGGGGGGTGCCGGGTCCCCGTGCCACCTCCTCCTGTCCCCGGCTGCACCTTCCCGGCGGGAGGGCACCTGGATTGCTGGGGAGGGGGACACAAAGGCTCCCCCAAAGAGGGGGGTCTCCAGGAGAGCGTATGTAGTTATGGCCAACCTAAATTTATTGCCTTGTGGATTTAGTGTTAGTGGAAGAGGTTTGAAGACTTATTTTTGTTTTGGGGTTTTAGGTTGAAAAAAATATATATATACAAATATAGGAAAAGGTTTTGTGAATGCAATTAAGAATCTGATTGGCGAGATACATGATGATATTGCTCGTGTTTTAAGCTCTGCGGTAAAAGGCCTGTGACAGTAGTTTACTAGCCAGTTTCACTAGTATCTGGCTAGAGTTTACAAGAGGTCACTGACCACTAGCATAGGATATTAATTCTCTCCATACAGTATTAACTTATCTCAAATTATAAAATGCTTTTTTAAATTGATTCTTAGGAAATGTTTTTTAAAAGCCCAAATGTTGGGAGAGCAAGCACATTTCTATCCAAACTTGTTTGTCTTGCATTATAATTTAAATGAAATAATTCATAGATGGAATTCCTTTAATAAATAGCATTACTTTCTCCTATTTATTTTCTGCTTTAGTGTTGTTCAAGTTCTGCAGGGTTTAGGCTCGTAGGTGATTGTCAGCTACATTAAAGATGCAGTATCTCTTTCATGACAGAACTTGCAACAACAACAACACTTGGGTTCTCAAGTGCTGCAATTCATAAGCTTACACTCTGCCATACCCCAGTGCAGGGAGGATGTATTCACTCTGTGGTTTTTCCATTTTGACATGCATGATTTTGGGAAGGGAGGCTTACGTTGAGTTTATTTTTCAGACTCTGTTTACAAAAAGATACTGATTTGCATGGGTTGAATGGTAATCTGCAAATAAGCAGAAATGCTTTTTATCTTGCTTAAGGTATTTAAAAGCACGCTTGAAATTACTGTCTCTGAGATAGAACTGTTTTTCCTTTTCTCTCACTGCTTTTTTAAATCCTGGAAGTACCAAGAATGTTAAGCTGTGTCTTTCCTAGTTTTATCAGAAGACCGACCTGAGCTTTTAATGAAAACTTCTGGTGAATATTCAGATAGATTTTGTTGTGGTGGGCTATGGTGGTGTTATTTTAATGGTCTAAAATGTTTTTTTCCTTTCAACTTGGTGCCACATGATTGACATCTGTCATCATCTGTCAAGTCTTGCAATACGCAGCTTTTTCCTTCTGGAAAGGCAGGCTCTGCAAAACCTGCTTCTCCAAAATACAGAGCAACCAGAGGGAGGTCCTGTTTCAAACAGCACAAAGTGTCTGTCAGGGGGCTGTCCTGAGGACTATCCTCCACTTAAGCGTGGGTTCTTCATTGCTGAGGTTTGTGTGTGTGTTAGGGCTGTTTTTCTTTTTCCAAAAAGAAAAATGCAGCAGGATGTAACCCGAAACCCCACAACAAGTTTTGGCCTGAACTTGGTATCTGATCTCTGTTATTATGCAGCCGAGGCTCTGAAGTTGCCAATTTCACATAATTAATACAAAGGGTGGGGAAGTCAAAACAGCATGAGATTTTATCTTGGCTTACTATCCCAGTGTTTTTTATTTTTGTTTTTCGTAGTTTCGTATTAAGCTTGCACTTCAAGAGTGCTAGAACTTTTGCATCTGAAAATTCAGAGCTTTATAGAAATTTATCTTCTATTCACATTGGCCAGTAAGACTGTTTTTTCAGACTCCTGTTAAGAACAGGTTGACAGCATAGCATGGCATAGCTTTTCTGTAGCTATAAAAGTCAGGAACCTGCTCTCAGAACCCTGAGTGTTTGGTGCAACTGCTCACGAGTAGCTGTGACTAAAGGTTGTGGCATTATTATGATCTGTGGGTTTTTTGTTTATTTTCCTCATTCCCTGCAGTTCTTGGTGTGTAATACTACCAGAGGACACTGTTGTTTGAAACTAAG